GTCTCCCTGAGCTGGTCAGCCTCCAGCACTCCCCATTCTCTCTTTTGGTGGCCCCAACTCCCCATCCCTACTTGGTCACTGACAGGTACTGACATCCACATCACTGACATCCACATCTTTCCATCTTTCTGAACCTTCCTCCATATCTCCAGCTCTGTTGTCATATATATCTCACTCTGCAATGTCTCTACTATGAGGATGCCCAGGTGGGCCTCTCTCCTTCTTCTGAACCCCAGTCTTTCCCACTGGGAAAGTGGCCTGAGCCTGCTCCCCTTTCCTCCCTTAATTTCCTGCCTTTAGCTACTGGGGACCGGGGGTGGGGGGGGAGGGGGAAGCTGCCCATGCCATCCCTGCTGGGAATGGAAGGGAGAGGAGAAGGAAAAAGAGGGAGGAAGGGGAACAGGATCCTTGGAGGGGATGTTTCTTACACCAGAAAGATCAAAGCCATGAGAAAGGAAGTTGAAAACTTTTCAAGGAAGCAATCAGGTAACAGACATCTGGCTATTGGTGTGACCAGAAGCTCAAGGGAGCACCGAAACCCCGTTAAGAACTGGAAACATCATCAGACATACTCAAAACACAGTTGAAATCAGGCACTAATGAATGCTTGTACTCCCCTCCAGGAGCCAGAGCTGGCTGCAGAAGAGTAAGAGAGAATGGGCCCAACCATCATCTTTACTGGTAAATGGCCCAATGCAAATAAGAGCGCCTTACTGGTCAGGATTCTGAGCTCGGGGCATGTGGTGGCCACTCCAGCCATTATGGGAGTGGAGCCTCCTGAGACAGCAGTGCTAGCTATGTGGAAGGCCAGACCCAATGGGAGCCGTTCCAGGGGCTGTCGTGAGGGATGCAGATCCTAGAAGGGAAGAGAGAAAAAATGGCCAGAAGAGATCAGAAGTGAGAGCAGAAGCAGAAATTACATTCAGTGTTCCCTCAATCAAAATCCTAGCGACTTACAGGGGCACCTGGGTGGCTCAGTTTGTTCAGCGTCTAAAATTTGCTCAGGTCATGATCTCGTTGTTCCTGAGTTTGAGTCCTGCATTTCGCTCTGTGCTGACAGCTCAGAGCCTAGAGCCTGCTTCAGATTCTGTTTCTCCCTCTCTCTCTCTGCCCTTCCCCTGCTCACGCTCTGTCTCTCTCTCTCTCTCAAAAATAAATAAACATTAAAAATAAAATAAAATAAAAATCCTAGCGAGTTGTTGGTATAAATAGATGAGCTAATTCTATGAAAATGAAGACTGAGAATGGCTGAGAAATCTCAAAACAAAACAAAAGTAGAAGACTTAAACTACCAGATCTTGAAACTTGCTACAAAGCTGAGGTCATTAAGTACTGTGGCACTGACCTAAAAATAGACACAGAAGAACAGAATAGGGGCGCCTGGGTGGCTCAGTTGGTTAAGTGTCCAACTCTTGGTTTCAGCTCAGGTCATGATCTCACAGTTTGTGGGTTTGAACCCCACATCAGGCTCTGCACTGACGGCAAAGAGCCTTCTTGGGATTCTCTCTCTCTCTCTCTCTCTCTCTCTCTCTCTCTCTGCGCCCCTCCCCCACTCATGTGCACATGTAAACTCCCACACTCTTCCTCTCTCTCAAAAGAAAGAAATAAACTTAAAAAAAAAAAAGAGGAACAGAATAGAGTCCAGAAATAGACCCACATGTATATGCTCACCGGCCTTTTGATAAAGATACTCACACAACTCAATGGTGGGCAGAGAGGGAGGGTCTTTGAAATAAATGGCTCTGAGGCAACTGGTTATCCATACAGGGAGAAAATGAACCGACCTCTACCTTACTCCATACACAGAAATTAATCGAAGACAAATCATAGGCTTAAATTTCAAAGCCCAAATAAGAAAGCTTCCAGAAGCATGCATAAGAGAATATGTTTATGACTTTAAAGTAGGCAAAAAAAAAGTCTTAGGTAGGATACAAAAGACACTAACTACAAGAGAAAAAAAGTTTATGAATTGAAAAGCAGGGGTGGGGTTGGAGGGGGTGCTTTGTATAGCCACCAAGCCCAGGGCACTGCTCCAATGAGATTTTGGGGAACTGTTGACTTACACGTGGCTGAGTACAGGAAGCCCCCGCCCAGAGCCACAGGCCAAGCTAAAAAGCCCTCTAGAGATAGATTGAGAAATAGAAATATCACCTAGCAACACCGAGAATGTTACTGTAGTGCTCCCAGAAATGGTTGTAGCTGAAATCTGAGAACTATTTGGAAAACTCCCAGAAGGTGAAGAAACTGTTGAGAAACTTGCAAAGAACGTGCAGAGATCGGCAGAGTTCTACCCAGAGACAGTGGTGAGACTGGTAGACATGGTGGGGAGACTGACAGAGATCTTCTCAGAGATGGTAGGGAGATTGGCAGAGATGGTAGGGATACCAGCAGAGACAGTGGGGAGACCAACAGAGAGATATCCTCAGAAATAGGAGACTGGCAGAGACGGTGGGGAGACTGACAGAGGTATCTCCAGAACCTGAGGGACTCTCAGAGGTTGTCAGTATGCCTCCAGATGCTGTTTCCTGATGAGGTCAGCTGAGCTATTGTTGGAAGAAGAAAAATGAAGTGATGGGATTAGAAGAGTTGGCCAACTCCAAAGGCCACCTCTTTATTCCAACAACCCTTTTCAGAGGTTGGTGTTCCTGCAGGCCCAGGAATAGCACCCAGGTGCGTCCATGGTGCCTGATGGTGTGTGCCTTTCCAGATCTATTTCCCCTGCTCTTTAAAGGCTCTGAGGCTTGCATCACCTGAGGTGCTCAGTGAGTTGAGCATCCGACTCTTGATTTTGGCTCAGGTCATGGTTCCAGGATCGTGGGATCGACCTCTCTGCTTAAGTGTGGAGCCTGCTTCAGATTCTCTCTCTCTCTCTCTCTCTCTCTCTCTCTCTCTCTCTCTGTCTCTCTCTCTCCCACTGTCCCTCTCCCCTCCTCTCAAATTAAAAAATACAATTAAAATCAAAAAAATAAATAAAGGCTCTGACGCTGATTATAAGTCTCAGGAGAGCCAGGTATGTTAGTATTTCCACCAACCCCAGGATCTCCATCTCCAGGGAGAGGTCACCAAGCTGTCCCCAAGGGATTGTCCTCTCCCAACCTGATCCCAGGAAACATTGGGGGGTGGGGGAGAGTGAGTGAGAGGCTGAGGATTCCCCTACCTGGCTCTCAGGCTCTTCCCAGACTTGGGACCAATCTTTCAGTCCCAAGTCCATCTCTAGCTCAGACCTTTCGCAAAGGAAGGAGGCCCAGGTGTCCAATCCCAAGGTCCTCTTCCTCCTAGAAGCACAACCATTGGGGGTGAGGATAGATACACAGGTCCCTGGGGAAAGAGAATTTGGGAGCTGGATGAAGGTGTAGAATGGCAAGGCCTGGGGCTTGCATCTGACCCTTGGGAGACCTCAGGGCAGGGTAAACACCTGAGCCATCTCTCACCTAGCTGACTGGAGCCCACAAAGTTTTCCATTCTTTTGGCAGAGAAGGGCCAAGGGAGAAAAGGAGCACCAAGGAAGACATGCATCATGTTCAAGAACAGTGCAATGCAGAGGTTCAGAACCTAGCTCTGAAGCCAGACTGTTCTGAATCCACTACTCCCAACCTGTGCAATCTCAAGCAAGTCATGTGACCTAAGTCTTAGTTTCTTCATCCCTAAAATGGGGTGATCTACTACCTACTTCAATGAGTCATTACAAGCATTAAAGGAAATAGTGGTTCTAATGTTCCTAGCATGACTATGTAGAAAGAGTTGGGGGCACCAGCTGGGAAAGACATAAGGGTGCCTCTGCTCTCCTCTTAAGAAGACTCAGATGCCCAAAGCATCTCTCTATGCTCCTGCTTTCTACCCTTTCTCATACCTCCTGTGCCTGCTCATCCTTCTGTCCACTTATTCTTTCCATTCTTATCTTCCTGTTCTCCCACAGAAGCCTGAGAGCCCTTGGATGTCCAAACCTGAATGTCTTTTGCTTTTGCTTTTAGCTTCTCTCCCTGACTCGGCCCATTGCTCTCACTGCTTCCATCCCTCTGTGCTTGGGCCCACTGGTTTCTAAGGGAGAAGGGAGATAATACATAGGAAAGCAAATAGGAAGACAAAGGGCATGTGCTTTTGTGTGTTCCAGGGGGCTTATGTGACTAGTGTGTCAATCTGTTGAGCTTGTCCCTGTGTCTGGCATAATGAGGGATGGTTTCTAATCTCTCTGCTGTTGGCTTGCTGTGTGGCCTTAATGAGTCATATGCCCTCTCTGGGCGTTGGTCTGCTAATTTGTAATGAAAGGTGGTAAACTAGATGGGCTCCAAACATTCTCTATACATCTGTCCTTGTTTTTGCCTTTTGGAGTGCCTGTGTGTAAGGATGAGTGCATAAGGCAGGGGGTGGGAGAGTGATGAAACTCATGTCTCCACCTGAGTATATAGGATGTTTTAGAACAACTAATACAAAACATTCAAGGATGAAAGTTCCCCCTTTACCCAGATTTCTCACAGAAAGCCAGTGTGCCTGGGGGAGTAGGATACCTGGGTTTGGGAAGAAACTTGGTGTAATCTCCCCCTCCCTTTTGGGCCCACATTCCTGAGCCCTTTGGTGGCATGAATGATGGAAATTAATTGCTGTTAATAATTAATCCCTAAAGAACAAGTAGAGGCCCAGGCTTAGGTGGGGCCCAGACACCTGCAGGAGGGACACCTCCTTAACTTCCCTCTCTGTAGAACTGGGCACCATCCCCATCAAAGCCTCCAGACATAGGGAAGGGGTGGGGCACAGGATTGAGGAAAGGGGACCACCTTCTATTTTCCCCAACAGCCCAGTGAATGGCCCTCTTCTGGGTCCTCAAAGCCATACTGGGAGAACTGGAAAATCCAGTTACCCAGCTTCCCTCTCCCATTTCCCACCCAAACACTTATGCTAAGGATTGAGTGGAGTATAGAAAGGCAGGCCTGGTAAGGAGAAGCTAGCTGGGGCTTCAGACATCTCTTCTGTCCATCAGAGAAGCAAGAAGTGAGGTGGCCACAATGGGGGCCAGGCTGCCCTTCTTCCTCTTCCTGACACTCCTGAGCAGCTCACAGGGAACAGGTGAGGGCTGGAGGGCTTGATGCCTGGGTGCTCATAGCAGGAAGAGGCCAAAGAGGGGAGTAAGAGAGGCATCCAGTCCTGAGCTTCCAGAGGTCTGGGGCTGAACCCCTGCATCGAGTGGGTCCTGAAGGGCATTGTCAGGGAAGAGCAACTTGGGGTGGGGGAGGCAGGGGTGCCCGCATCTCTGAAGGAATATAGCCCTAATAATTGGACACTAAGCTGTATTTTTTGATCCCTAGGGCCAAGAATGATTTTGCAGCTGAAGCTGAAGGACTCCCTTCTAGCAAATTTCTCCTATGATTCCAGCTTCCTGGAATTGCTTGAAAAGGTAGTTCTTTGGGAGGGGAAATGTGAGGCTGTGTGAACTTGGAGTGTGTTTCTGAGTCAGTGTGGGCCTCTCTGCTGGGGTCTGGCCATCTCCAAAGGGTGAGTGAGAACCATCTTACACCCTTCCCTCTAACCCTTTCTCTTCCCCAGCTCTGCTTCCTCCTCCACCTCCCACCTGGGACCAATGTCACCCTTCATCATGCAGGATCCCCACACCGTGCCATCTGCAAAGTCTGAGAACAGTCGAAACCTGTGTCCTCCCTTGGCCCAGGCATTTGACCACCAAGGTACAGGAAAGATGCCCTAAACCCTGCCGAGTGGCAGTAAATATGATGAATTCAATGACTTGCCTTTGTGGGTTTGTGAACAGAGAGCTGGCAGGAAAATAGAATTGGACACCAAACTCTCTGACTCTCCCCCTTATTAAGCAGAGGGGTTCCGGGATGGACACCCTCTCCCTCAACACCAGTGTGAAAGGCCTAGAAAGAATCTGGGAAGTTAACTGTTTGAGGACCCACGCACCACACTTATACATGCATGTGCGTGAACACACACTTCAAGCTGAGATCTTCAGAATATCTAGGAATAAAGGCAAGAAATGTACTGAATTCCTACTTTGTTCCAGACTTGATGCTTTCCCATTTCAATGCGTGCAGTGATCTTGAATGTAGAATAAGTGTCACTGTCCAATTTTACAGATGAACACTGAGGCTTACAGAGGGTAAATTACTCACTTTAGGTCCATTAGCAGTGGACACCAGACAAATGCCTTGACTTAAGCAAGATTTTCATTTCATCCTTCTTTGCTTGGGAGGCAGCTCCAGCGATAGATGAGAGGTTCCACCTGTGAGAGGATATCCGGCCAGCCAGGTGTGAGTGGTGGGGAGGGTGGGTGCTAGCAAAGCTTGTGCTGGCTGTGAGGACATACAGTCCCACAGGCCCACGCTTGAGTCCTGGGTAAATTTCTTATCTCTCAGAGCCTCCATTTCTTCACCTGCAAAGTGGGAATGATAGTACCTGATGCTTGGACTGTTGTGAGCATTACATGGAGAAGCTACGTAGGGTACATGGGCAGGTAAGTGAGCCTGAGTAGTAGGGATTGTTAAAATTCAACCATGGTCCTGACATAGAAGTCCTAGTCCCCTCAAGGGTCCAAGGTCTTCCTTCTGATTTTTCTTGAGGCAGGCACTCCTCTGTCTCCTCACCCAAGATGATCTTGACTTCTTACCAGCTTTCTCAAAATGCAATCATGCAGCTCAAACTTGACCATTTGGGGGTACTGATGTGACTGTTTCCTGTTCTCCACAGTCCTCTCCCCTACCTACCATACTCCCCACCTACCCAGTATCACCACCATGGGAAATTAGAGGCTGACTTCCTTGGAGGGAGGAGAAGGCAACGGCTCCAAATAGAGCATCCCTGAAGATGAGGGGGGAATTGCAAGTGGGAAATGAAACAAAAAACTTCCAAAACAAAATTCCTCTATTTTCCTTTACAACTATCCTGGGATCAGCAACCTGGAAGAGAGGTAGCTGGGAGCTAAAAAGGGCCCCAGTGTTCCATGACTTGTTCTTTGCCTGCACTAGGTGCAGGTGACACTCATGGGTCAGGTGTGTAGGCCCTACCCAAGTTGGGGAACTGGATGTCTGAATTTCCAAGGAGCAAACAGCTAACTGCCTCTCAACCTGATTCCTACATCTCAGGGCCTGGGATCACCAGGCTGTGATTTCCAGATTCTTTCCTGAAAAAAACTCTCTTCCAAGACTTGACAGAGCAGTACAGGGAAAAGAATGCTTTGGGATTGAACACACCTAATTGCCGTTCTTCTCCTTTTGGGTAATCACGTAAATTCTAGCTGAGCACATGGCTCACTTACATTTAGCTTAGCACACAGCTCATCGTATTTCCCAGCCTGTCAGCTAGGAATGGCAACAGCTACAAGGAGAAAGGCAGTATACAACTTCCTGATGACATCTCTGAAAGGAGAGGCACTTTTTTTTTTTTTTTAATTTTTTTTTCCAACGTTTATTTATTTTTGGGACAGAGACAGAGCATGAACGGGGGAGGGGCAGAGAGAGAGGGAGACACAGAATCTCGGAAACAGGCTCCAGGCTCTGAGCCATCAGCCCAGAGCCTGACGCGGGGCTCGAACTCACAGACCGCGAGATCGTGACCTGGCTGAAGTCGGACGCTTAACCGACTGCGCCACCCAGGCGCCCCGAGGCACTTTTATTTGAGGGAAGAAAACAAAGTCCTTCCAGTAGCCTACAGGTCATAGACCAGTGCTTTCCAATAAACTTTCCATGATGGAAATGTTTTAGAACCTACCCTGACCAATATGGTAGCCACTAGCCACATGTGGCTATCAAACACTTGAAATGTAGCTAGTGTGACTGTGGAACGGAATGTTTAGTTGTACTTAATTTTGAATTCGTTAAATGGCAACCATTTTGGACAGCACAGCCCTAGATGATCTGCCTTGAGCTTTCCTGACTCCCTACCCCACAATGGACTTTATCTCCTACTCTTCCCCCCAACACTGGCCTCCTTGCTGCTCTTTGAGCACTCAGGATATGCTCCCATCTTAGTTTTGCTCTGGCTCTTCCCTCTACCTGGAACACTCTTCTCCCAGGCATCCACTTGGCTAATTCCTGCACCTCCTACAAGTCCTTGCTTAAATCTCACTTTCATAGTGAGTTCTACCCTGACCCATTTAATACTACAATCTGTCCCTTTCCACATTGCCTTATTCTACCCTTTTTTCCCCATAGCATTTATGACTCTCAGATATAGTGTATAGTTTACTTTATTTACATGTGTTCTTTTTGACTCTCCTTGCTAGAATTAAAGTAAACAAAGACCTTTGTTTCAGTCATTTATGAATCCAAGGGTCCAGAATAGTTCCCAGCATATAGAAATATTTGAACTGGGGGAAGACAGAAAGGAAGCTGCCCAACCCCTCCTCTCCCTCCTCTCTCTGGGTAGGATGGGGGTGGGGGTAGGGTGGAGCAGATCTTAGACCCAGAGTTGGAAACAGTGTATCAGAATGGCAGGAAATAAGATTAAATGGGGTGTGGGCCTCCTTTATTACAGAACTCTGAACTGCCTCTGCTCAGCAAAAGAAATGTCCACCTTGCCTAACCCACCATTATATTTGATGCTTGGTTAGAGCAGCCAAAATGAACCTGCACCTATGTACTGGGTTGAATCCCAGTTGATACTTTGGACAAGTTACTTTTATTCTCCGAGCACATTTCTTCATTTCCAAAATGGAGCCAACACCCACCTCCTAAGGTTCTCAGGAGGATTAAATGCACCACGGAAGCTACAGACCATGATAGGCCTACCATAAGTAATAGCCTCAGAGCTGCTAGACAGAATATAACTTGGGCATGTAAGAGGCAGGTCCCTGAATTCCACGGAGATGACACAAGGTGTTTAGGGTGGATCAGTGGGTGTCTGCATCAGTGGGGATGTACATCTGTTGGAGGCTGGTCAAGATGTCCCTGGCAGTCTGGTATCAGATACACAGAACAGGGGCAGCATTCAAGCCCCAGCGTGCCTTGCAGCCCCTCAGGCCCAGAGGAAGTACCTGCTCCTCTTAGCACACCCCACCCCAGGATAAAGCCAAGGAGCGGGGTACCTTCCATTTGGTGAGGAGAAATGGCCTGCAGGAGCCAGGACACTGTAATTCCAAGAAGTAGGTGGAACCCGAGTCACAGTACCCAGGCCTTAGCAGGACGCTCCTCTTTCTTCCAATAAGGCAGACACCGCCAGCATGCACACTCCCACTGCAGCCCAGAGCCCCAGGCTTAGCCCCAGGGTAAGAGGCAGCCCCCCTCTTTTCCTAGACCAAAGCCTCAGGGAACAATTGAAAGGCAAGAAAGTCACCACTAGGAGAAAGAGGAATAAAAAGACCAAGTTTATCTCATTCCTAAACTTCCAGGTAGGACTGAATAAGAGGGAGGCTGGGCAGGAATGTGAGCATCTTGAGGACACCCAGTGACACTGACCAAACCAATCGGTTTCCTTATTTACGAAATATGGGAAGTGAGCCACAAGGTCTCAGAATCTCCATCATGCTTGACAGCTGCTAGATTCTGTCTGTCCTCAAAAGCAGATCAGGAAGAGAAGAAAACCACCATATGGTGAGCTGGAGCTCAGAGCTCTCTGGGGCTAGGACATGCATCCATCAGCTGCCGGAGGTGAGAGGCCGCCTTGTCCAGCTTCGACAATTCCAACTCGAGGGAAGAAAGCTAGCCGAGAAGAGAAGCAGGTGAGGATCCAGGTATAAGGCCCATCCCCTCCAGCCCACATTCCCACAGGGAATCAGGCTTCCTCCAGCCTCACCCTCTGCTGCCTTTTAGTCTCCGTCTCCCCCTCTGATGGGGTCCAGGCCATGAGGCCATCAAGCTGCTTTTGCAACTTGTGTCTTCGGGCAGCTAGCAGAGATAGATGGGTCTGGGGGTCCACAAGCCCCTGTGGAAGAACAGAGAAGGCTCAGCCTTCTTTGTAACATCTGCGGCCTGTCCAGTACCTGTCTCCACCCCATTCTCAGGAGCCCTTCTCACTTTTACAGAACCTACCATTTGCCCTCCTCCCAACATCCTTTTCAATCCCTCCCTTCCCCCTCCAATCTCCTCTAAGCACCTGCAGCTCCATGTACACCTGAATGGTATCATTGAGTGGAGCCTGGGCCCAGCCAGAGGGAGCCAGTACACCTGGGGGTAAGAAGCCCACAGCCCCACAGTGGCCCAGGGTGCCTAGAGGTTCCAGAAAGGCCTCAAAGAGGCCTTGCTCTTCAGGCTCTGAGCTCTGCAACAGCACTGAGGAGGAAAGGGAAACCGTCAGTGTCAAAGCATGAGATCCTGCTTCCCTCCCCATCCTGCACCTCCTAACTCTGGGCTCTGCCCTCCAGGCTCTCCCCACTCCTCCACCAACCCCTTCTTTCTGCAGGGACTCAGGAGCCCAGGACCCATCTCACCTCGGGGCCGGGCCTTTGTGAGCTGGTATGTGGCTCGGAGAGCCCTCAGTGCCTGCACGGCCTCTTGGACCCGGGAGAAGCGCTGTTCGAGCTCTGGTTGGTGCCAGTGTTCCTGGAGATGAAGACCCAGAGCTGATAAGCAGGCCCCTGGGAGACTTGATATCAGCTCTCCTGGCTCTACTCTCCACCTGACCACCCTGATCTGCTAAGGGCAACATACTCTCTCCTCTCCACTACACACAAAATTCACCACCTCAAGGAACAGAACCCAGCAAAACCTGGGGTACCATCTAAGGACGTCTTAGTTGATGTTTGTGTTGATGTCTGTTAATTGTTCTGGTCAAATATACCAAACAACCAAAAGTAAGTTGGAATTTAAACCGTATCATTGAAAACTCACCAAACCAAATAAGCATAAAGAAATTTAAATAATTAAACTTTAAAATTATTTTTTGGGTGAGTCTGTAGTATTTTTCCTTCTGAAATTATTAAAGCTTAAAACTGCAGTAATTTGGGGACCATCCTATTAGTTCTCATCTAGTTCTCATCACAACCATGCTATTAACTATTACTACCCCTGGTTTAAAGATGGAGAACTGAGGCATGGTCAGTCTAGGGACAAAGTTCTGCTCTTGTCTATGGGGCTAATACTGCCCCCAACACAGACCTGTGAGAACAACCCATCCTCCTAAAGACTCTACACTAAAGTACAAATCACGATTGTTGAGGACCCTACAGCAGCAAACCCTTTGAGAAGACTGCTCCCTAGCCCTTCACCAGTGGTCCCATACCCAGACATCAGGGATGCGTACTCACCAAGCTGCAGGCAGTGGGGTAGGGGGCAACAGAGATGCTAGGGGCAGAGGAGCCTCCAGGCCTGGGGGGCAGCCTCTGCCAGAGCTCTTCAGCCAGGAAGGGCATCAGTGGGGCAAGGAGGCGGAGACCGATGTCAGCACAGAAGAACAGGACCTGAGGGGGGCCTTGGGGACGGGGCGAGTGCAACAGCACCGGCTTCACAGCCTCCTGGGGAGGGAGCCAGAGGGTCAGGGAACAGGCCCAGGCCATTATCTGTGTCCTTTCTCTATACACTCACTGCCCTGACAGTGAAGAATGCTGTGGGTGAACATGGGCAGGAGCACAGGGCATCTTGGACCCCGTCGGCTGTCCCAGAACACACTCTGGAGCAACTGAGATGTAGAAATCTAGCGCAGGGATTCTCAGGACTGTGGGGAGGTGTATAAAATTGTCAGTGTGGTTTGCACAGTTTCAGAAGAAAAGCACTGAGTTCTCGGCCTATCAAAAAGAGGCAGAGCCCTTTGCCAGGGAATTGGATCTCAAGGCGAACAGGAAGCAGGTAACAGGAGTGGAATGCCACGCCATGACCCCAGTCTACTCACCAAGTAGACATCACAGAGGTTATGGAGCCAGAAGTGGTGCAGGGCACGGGTGACAAGTGAGAGCTCTTGGGCAAGGAAGCCTCGCCCACACTCCCGGGCAGTATGGGCAAGACGGCTCAGGATCCAGGCATCCATGGGCGATGAAGGGGAAAGCTGCGGGCAGCAAAGGGCTTCAGGATGGGACGACTCGACTCCTCTGTGTCCTTTTGCTCCAAATGCCATCTTCAGCCCCCAGAGACCTGATGATTCTGCATCCCAAGCCTCTCTCTTACCTCTTCTGCAGGCTGGGGCACAAATTTCTCCCCTAAGGCATTGAGGATAAAGCGCAGGGCATTCCAGATTTTGTTGCAGAAATGCCGGGAATTCAGAACTTCGGAGACAGACAGGTGCAAGTCGCCCCCTAGAGGAATAGGAAGAGGGGGAGTGTACAAGTGGGTGGCAGCAGCACAGGGAATCCTTGACCCTGCCCCACCCTCTACAAGGGTGCCTACAGCCCGGACCCCTCCCTTGCCCAGGCTTACCTAAGGCCCCATGGGAGCACAAGGTGAATCTTAGGGCATCTGTCCCACACTCAGGGATCCCATGAGGGAAGTCCTTTCTCTACAACCAGAGGGAGAAGAGGAGTGGCAGATGCCTACGCAGCTGCAGGATCAGAAACCTGGGCTGTGAAGAAAACCAGAGGCCTCGAGCTAGAGGCCGAGATGAAGTGGACGTTGGTGACTCACCTGTGCTGCAGCCGCGATCGCCAGCTCTGTAGAGTCCAAGTTCCCATCCCTCAGCTTTTCCTGCAGCACCTGAGATGGGTAATTCACCGGCCTTGGTCAAAGACCCTGCTGCTACAAGGGCCCCACCCACTCTCCCTCCCAGCCGGGTCCTCTCCACAGGCTCCGTTCTTCTCTCCCACAAACCCATCCCTTGCCAAATTTCATCCTGACCTGCAGCTCCACCCCACTGATGATGTCTCGTGGGTCCAACACATTCCCTAGGGACTTGCTCATTTTCCGGCCCTGCCTGTCCCGAACCATGGAATGAAGAAGCACCTGGGAACATGGAGGGAGTCAGCAGAGGGGCTAGGGGAGCCTTTCCCCGGAAGTGCCCAGGGAATCTCTGGCCTCCATGCAACAGGGGTTAGGGTAGGAAGAGAATCAGGAAAAAGGAATTGGGACCACAGAAAATACTTCATTAGGGACTAGAACAGAGAACAAGATTTAGGGAAGATTGGGGAGTCCACAAGAGGGGCTCAGCACTGAAGTGCTGTTACCTTGCTGAAGGGGAGCTGCCCTGTGAGCTGGGTCCCCAACATGACCATGCGGCCCACCCAGAAGAACAGAAGGTCACTACCAGTTTCCAAAAGTGACAGGGGGTAGAAACGAGTGAGGTCTGGGGTCTAGGAGGAAAAAGATTAAGCAGTGAGAGGCCCAAGCTCTGTTCTTGCAGCTCTCCTTGAGGCTCTCTGGAAGGCCAAGTGTCTACTTCATCATCCCCACCTTCACTCTCCTCCCCTCACCTCTTGGGGCCAGCCCAGGGCAGCAAAGGGGAAAAGAGCTGAAGAGAACCATGTGTCCAGGACATCAGGGTCTGGGAAACAGAACAGGGAATGGGGGACAACTGGAACCTCCAGCCCACAACTGTGTACCTTTCCAGCCCAACCCCACCCACAGAGACCATGGCACTCTGCCCCATTCCCAACTTTCCTAACCCCACCTCCTCCACCTCAGTATCTGCCCCCTCAAAGGCCCAGACGCTCTCCCCTGCCCTCCACAACACAGACACTCACCCCTCTGCAGGATCAGCTCTGCCGCTGGTCTCCCTGTCAGCTCTGAAGCTATTTTTCTGGCCTCGGCCTCTGTCCTCCCAACCACCCAACAGTCCTCCCTGTCACCCTACAGAAAAAGTAAGGGGTGGGGGAGAACAAGGAAGTTCTGCCAGTGTGAAACATCACCGACTTTCGTGTTCACCCATGTGGTCTAGGGATGGCCGACCCCCTCCGGCAGTGAGATGAAGAAGTGCCCACTCAGGCGCTCTGATCCTGCAGTGGGTTACATGACTAAGACCATGAAGCTCTAGAAAGGCAGGGGGTTGGGACGGGTGCTCAAAGTCTCTGATGCTTGCGCTATGGCTATTTCTCTTTCCGCCGTGCCCAGCCCTCCCCGTCCCCTTCCTCCTACCAACCTTCGTTTGCTCCTCTACAACCAGGTAGGCGGGAATCTGATGGCCCCACCACAGCTGCCGGGAGATACACCAGTCTCTGCCAAGAGGACGCCAGTGATTTCTCAGCATAACCAGGGCATCGCCCCACCCCACCTCCATAGAGCCCCTTACCCTTACCCAATGTGGGAAAACCAGTGCTGCCAGTTTTTCTGGTGGAAGGAGGGACTGAGCTCCAGAGCTCCTGACTCCACAGCCTGGAGAAAAAGGCCCTTAGATAATGCTTCTAAAAAAGCTTAGATAATGCTTCCTACACCAGCACCCCTCCTGAGATGAGACAAGCGTCCTCTGAGGTGGTGCTATTACTCATAAAAGACCTCCAGAGGCTCCTGAGAAGATTTGGGGTTTGACTGGAATGTGCGCCAGCCCGTTCTGGGCCTCCCTACCTCCATCCCCACAGCTCTCCTCTCAAATGCCAGGGCCAGAGGTCTGTGGGGCAGGAGGGCCCCAGCTTCTGTTTTTTCATTCCAATTTTCAGGGAATTCCCATTCCTTCCTCACCCTGCAGCCTTACCTGGGCAGCTCGATCCCCCATCTCCCGGCAGCGGACAAACCACTGGCTCTTCAGTAGGTATTCTACCACGTCCCCAGAACGGCTGAGAAAGAGGCAGGGTGAGTCTGCTGCTCCTCAGGCCCTGTGCCTTTCCCCACTGGGACATAGTACATACTACATGCCAGGCCCTCAGACCTGAGAATATAGCAGCAAATAAAACTGACACAGGGGAGGGGCACCTGGGTGGCTCAGTCGATTGAGCATCTGACTTGGGCTCAGGTCATGATCTCACGGTCAGTGAGTTAGAGCCCTGTGTCAGGCTCTGTGCTAACAGCTCAGAGCCTGTTTCAGATTCTGTGTCTCTCTGTCTCCCCCTGCCCCTCCCCCACTCATTCTCTCTCTCTCTCTCTCTCTCTCTCTCTCTCTCTCTGTCAAAAATAAACAAACATAAAAAAAATTAAAAAAAAAAAAAAAAAAAACTGACACAGGGGCACCTGGGTGGCTCAGTCGGTTAAGCAACCAACTTCGGCTCAGGTCATGATATCATCATGTTAAGTTCGAGCCTCACATCAGGCTCTGTGCTGACAGCTTAGAGCCTGGAGCCTGCTTCAGATTCTGTGTCTCCCTCTCTCTCTGCCCCTCCTCACTCACACTTTCCCTATCTCTCTCTCTCTCAAAAAAATAAATAAACCACAAAAATTAAAAAAAAAACAAAACTGACACAGAGCTTCTGTTCCCTTGCAAGCGGTATGGAGTCCATCCTATTGCACTATTAGCTTCATCCACTCCCTTCCCAGAAAAGTCCTAAGTAAAAGGGTTAAAATGGGGTTACCTGCAAATAGGAAGCACCATAGGGTGGTTCTGAAGGCCCCGGAACAGGCCCCGCTCCCTCAGTGCAGACATAATCTTTTCCCGGGCCACAAATCGGTGAAGACCCTGGGGAAAAATGGTAACAGTAAAGGTTAAAGGCCACTAAGTGTGTGTGAGAGGAAGGATTGAGGAAAGTGTGAGAGGGAGGATTGAGGAAAGGCAGAGGGTGCTCCCAAAGGATGGGGTAACACTGAGGCCAGTACCACCTGTAGCCAATCCCCACAGAGGGAAGTCATGGTCCCATCCTCTGCAATGACACTCAGAGGGCTCAAGCCATGTCGGGCTCCCAGCTCAGCATCAGCAAGACTATGTGCTGGAGTCACCTTCACCGCCCCTGGGGGTACAGAACCACCATGAACACTGACCCCTGACCTTTTCCAGAGATTTCGTTGTCGCCCACACCCCCATCTCTCTTTTCTCTTCTCTGTCCATGCCTCCTTTTTGTCCCACTCCCCACTGAGACTACCCCAGAAAAGGCTTTCCCTCCCTTCCTTTCTTCCTCTTCCTGATGCTTCCCCACTCCTCCAGAATCCCCAGTCTGCTCTCCCTCCCGTGGCCTCCACCCACCTGTGCCCATGTGTGGCTGAACAGCAGAGTCTGTGACGAGGGGGAGAAGCTGCCCAGTCAAGGGGTGACGAAGCTGTCGCCCATGCAGATGCTGAAAGGAAGAAAGCAAGATCAAGGCCAGGCACACGTGTGGGGTGCAAAGGTCTGGGCTGAATGTAAAAAACTCTGGGAATAAGAGGGTGAAAACCAGAAGGTAAAGAGCTAGAGCAATGGTCACTAAACTTTTTCTCATGGGGCCAGAGTTTATTGTAGGCTTTGCAGGCTACAAGGCAAATTTGGTCTCTGCACATTTACTCTGCTTTGCCAATGCAGCGCAGTTAGGTAATAATACTCAGTTGCAGGTAATACATAAAACATGCAAGTGCGGATATACAAAAACAGGCAGTAGGATGGGTTTGGCCCACAGGCAATAATTTGTCAACTGCTAAGCTAGAGACTAAGTAGGACATCAAGAAAAGAAAGGCACAGAGTCAGAGACACTGGAAAGTGGAAACGAGACAAGTCTTAGGAAAAGGAAATCAAAGGAAAGGAGTTACCATCAAACAGGAAGGGAAGAGAAAGCTATGTGTAGGAAAGTCAGCTGGCAGAAAGCACAATGTGTATTACTGTGTATCGGGAGTCATCAGGATGAACAGCCACAGCCACGTCTCCAGGCAATGTCTCTGGCCTTGTGGTTCCTATTACAATCTCTGTGTCTGAAGACAAAATTCAAGCACTTAATGCTGGTCATTGCCCTGGTTCCTCACTCCTGTAACTAAAGCCAGGAGAACCAGAAAAGGGAGGGGACAGGAAGCAGTCATGATTGAACAGACCCCCAGGTATAACTAGAGGAAATTAGGAGCCTGGGGTTTCCATGTAAGCTCATGACCAGAAGCCCAGGAGGCTATCTGGTGTTAAGGAATTTCTCCATAACTTGCATGGAACAAACAGGTAGAGCATTAACAAAAGCAACTAGAATCCTTACTTGGTGCTAGAGAACACTGGGGATTCTCAGTGCCCTAATCACTCGTTGAGAAACTTCCTCTGTCTATTCCAGCTAATCTTTCTTCTCTTTCTCTGAGAAAGAGAAGGGGTAACAGCCTCCTGTAGAATTAGGTCAAGCTTCCAAAGGGCAGTGCCCATGTGCACTTTTCTTACATGGCCCAGAAGACCCAGAATAAATGCCTACAAGAACACCAACACTACCAAGATTCCCTATGCACCTCCCACCAGGCCATGTAGGAAACAGGCTGGTGGGCTCCCTCCCACCAACCCCACATGTGCTCAAGAAAGCAGTTATGATAAGCAGACAACCTCTCTGAGGACTACCCTTACCAGGCTCTCCATCCACAGGGAAGGCCACAGAAACAAGGAGGCCAAAAGACACAGGGATGGGGCAGCCAGGCAGACGAAGTTCCGTGCGGCCAGGCAGGGGCCGGCTCTCCACCTGGAAGAGTCACAGCAGCAGGGCTGGAGAGCAGCCTCTCCTCCACTCACCAGCCTGCCCTGCGGCCCAACTAAAGACATTCAGAGGATTCAGGAGCCACCTCCCCCTCCCCTAATTCAGTCATAGTTCAAAAATATTCACCGAGCACTTACACCGCACTGGGTATTGTGCTGAACACCTTCCATGAATTCTCATTTAATTCTCACAACACCCCCTTGACACAGGCATTTCCATCATCCCTAGGAGCTCTCACAGACCTGCTTCTCCTCCTCTGCCTCACCTCGATATCCGAGATGGCTGATCTTAAAGCACAGGACCAGTTGACAAGCTGCTGGTTCCGATACAACAACCCTGCCTCATAGAGTCGCACAAAAGCTTCAGTCACGGCCACTGAGGAGCCCTAGGGGATGATCTCAGTGTCCATATCTAACAGCCCATTTTCAGCCCATCACCCCACTCAGAGACCCAGGCATTCCCACCCTGCTACCCCCAACACACACAACATCCCACCTGCCTGCACATATCTCTAGACACCTCCTCAACACCCACAGGGATCAAGGCATGGAGCACTCACAGCATCCATAGTGAAACACTCTCGGTCCCAGTCCAGGGAGGCCCCCAGAGCTTGGAGCTGCTCACAGATCTCTCCACCTTTCCTGTGCCCAGAGAGATTTTTGTCAGCAAACTTGTCCTGAGCACCAACTATGTACCGGCCCAGTGACACTCCCAGCAATGTATGGCATTGATTTAGTCTCTAGAAGCTAATGGAGACACGCACACAAACTCAGTATGGGTCTTCTATGGCATTAAAAGAAGTATAAAGTTCCGGGGTGCCTGACTGGCTCAGCTGGTAAAGCATGTGACCCTTGATCTCAAGGTCATGAGTTCAAGACCCATGTTGGGTACAGAATAGGAAGGAAAGAAGGGAGGGAGGGAGGGAAATAAAGTTCTGCAGTAACAGAGGAGGGGGCAGCCAATTTGGGAAAAACCCAAAGAAGCTTTACAGAGAAAATGGTTTGTGATAACAGACACCTATAAGAATGAGGGTAATTTCAAGTAGATGGAAGGTAGGGATAGGTAAGTAAAAGAGACGAGGAAATCTAGGCTAGAAAAAATGGGGTAAGTGCAGAAACAATATACATATATACCCACACACACAAATTCATGCATTTTCAAGTATGTAATACACACACACTCACAACGCTTAGAGACCCCACTGAATGCTAAAGGAATCCAGGGCTTCCCTCTCTGAGGGAATTTAGGGCTGGATGCAAAGAGCCCATCAGGTTAGGGAGAGTGACTCAGAAGCAAGGACCCAAACCCTCCATGTGCAGGGAGGTGGGGGGGCAAACTCCACCCACCGTACTCACTCCTCCTTCCACTTCCACACCTCCCTAAGGAAGTCTTCCCGGCTCAGCTCATGTCTCCTCACTCCTTGCTCCTTCCAAAGTTGCTTCTCCACCACAGCCTACGGTAAGAAAAGGAGGCAAATGAACAGAGAATCAGGTCATTTTAAAAGGAGAACAACTCTCCTTCACCCAAGAAAAGGGAAAAGTGGCAAAATTCATACTTGTGTAGCAATTCCCGCATGATCTGAGCCTGGGACCCACAGCACCTCATCCCCACACATCCGGTGCCTGCAAAACAAATACCCTCACGGGAACCCCCGAGCCTCCATATTTACTCTCACTCCCTGCACACTAGCACACTTCCTCCTTTCCCTCCAAGACCATAAGCAGCCCCATTCCCCTCTCACCAGCGCACCAGGGCATCCTGTATGGCCACTGTCAGTGCATGTCCAATATGTAGGGAGCCAGTGACATTGGGAGGTGGGATACACATGGAAAACGTCTCCCCTGTGGCCTGGGGCAGCCTGGTCTAGAAAACAGAAAAGTCAAAGGGCAAAAGACGACTGGATGTTACCTGGGGGAACAGCACCCTCTGGTGCCTCTGAGGCAGGAAGAACTGCAGGAAAAATAGTCCAGCAAATTATAGGAAAGGGGAAAACCTGCCAAGAAAACGCTTTGGACACCAGGAGCAGAAGACACGTTCTCTGTTTTTTTAAACAGGTTCTGCAATATGGCTAGCTGTAAGCTCCAGACTCTAACACTCAGCTGTGCCCAAGCTCAATGGCCATTCTGTGCTGGGGACCATTTAGTACCCCTCTCTTCCAGGTACTAACCTGATATTCTGGTTTGAAGAAGCCCTCTCGCACCCACCAAGAGTACCAGGCAGCCTCAACATATCGAGGGCTGTATGCAGGAGGCAGGACCCGGGAGACATCTGCAGCAGCAGAGGAGAGCTCCACTAACTCCTGAACTTTGTTCCCAGGCTGCATTTCAGCAGACCAAATGGGCAACAAAAATGTGGGAGAAAAGACCTTCAAGTTCCCTAGTTACCTTTCTTTTCACCGCGTTCTGTGGGAATTTCATACACCACCACCTCCTTAGGAGTCCAGGACTTACTGGATTCTGCAGGTGACTGGAGAGAATGACCAAAAGTGGGGATGCGGGGAAACAATTTCCAGTATACCCCAGGCATCTGGAATCCAACCAGTCTCTCCTCCAGCCCCCTCCGAAGTTTTCTCAAAAAACCAAGAACAAGCTATCTGACCCCTAACCTTGCTCTTCCGGGCTACCCCAGCCTCCAGCGCCGCCTGCTTTTCTCGCTGGCGCTTCTTCTTGGCTTCATGGTTTCTCCGGGAGAGGGAGGATCCATGGGGCTTTGACTGGGTAGAGAGGGGATACGACCTGGGGAAGACCTGTGACGGCCTCAGCCCCCAGAGTGGTGATCGAAAAGAAGCCAGAGGCATATGAGGCATCAGGAGCGCTTGGAAAGGGCCAAGATCTGTTCCAGACAGACAGAGCACATTAGGAGGATACGTGGGTGGGTGGGCGTGGGGTGTCACACCGTCTTCCTTATTCCCTGCCTTCTACTAGCACTGGCCTGCTTTCTATCTCCAGCCCCCCCCCCCCCCCCCCCCCCCCCCCCACACGACGCTTTCCCCGTTAGGACTAGAGTGCATGGTGTCGGAGTTTGTTGCCTTCAACCTGTGTATCCGCGACGGTGAATGACCGCACGGGGCGGGGAAAGGACTCAAGGATTCTGGGAGATTGTCCACATCAGGGTGCCCGAGAGCCAGCGGAGAGTCTCATCATTGCCATCTCGGCCTGCCCAAACAACGCCCCCACTGCCCCCGGCCCTGCTCTGCCCGGCTTTCCTGCCCGTCGCAGCGCGTGGATCTCTACAGCGCTGAGCCACCCACCCCGACCAAGCCGCTCTAGCGCGCGCTCACCCGGCGAGCCGCCGCTATCCCAGGGTGCCCCGCAGCCGCCGCAGCATGGAAGGCTGAGGGAAACCAGCGAATCCGACCCCGGAATGCGACCCGCGAGCCGTGCGGTGCAGGGAGGCGGGGCCACGCCCGGCGCATGCGCTGTAGCCTACTCGGGCCCATTCGCTTTCCGGCGGTCAGGTGGGCTGCCAGCGCTGTAAGGTGCAGGTCCAACGAGGATAAACGAAAAGCCACGCGGGGAGGCGCCCAGGGGGCACCGTGGCTCACTTCCACAACTTTATTAAACAATAAGAGTCCGGCGTGTAAATAAAAAAACACCTGAGTTCTAAGGCTGCGTCCGCCTCCATGCAGCCGCCCCACCCCGCCCGGGTCTGAGCCCGCACTCTCAGGAGCTGTGCTTCTGCCGCTTCCAGAAGCGCTTGACGTCGCTGTGCCCGGCCGGGGTCACCACCATCAGCCTCTTGGCCGAGTTCTCGAACACCAGAACGCCCAGCTCCCGAGCGTGGGCCAGCAGCAGCTCAAAGTCCACTTGCGACAAGAACTGATTATACAGTACACCTGGAGTCCGCAGGAAAGGGGCGGTGGGAGAGAGAAAAGGCAAGAAATGAGACCCCTGCGTGGCAGCCTCGGGTCATTGGCCTGGGCTTGCCACCCACCACAATCTGAAAACTAATTCTCTATGCTTGTCTGTTTCAGGGCTCATCCTAACACTAGCGTGATCCAGCCATATTCAGTAAGGCAATGTAACACAGTAAAGAAACCCAACTAATGCTCACCAAATCGGAGAAATTAATGTGAATTATCCCTCCCAATTCCCTCTTCTACTGAATCCAAATTGCACAGATTTGAGACAATTTACTTACTACTACAGGCTCATCCCCAAAATAAAAGTGTTTTGCCAACTTTTCTCTACCAGCCCATGCAGTAAACAAAAAAATAAAATGCATGAATAGCTTTTTCAGTTCATCAAGACTAAATTGTCTTTCTTCTGGCCAATGACCAAGAACCAACCACCAGAAGCCACTCACCCTCAGTGAACCGGAGTCTGTCCCTTTCTAGCTCCCACAGCCGAATCTGGTCCGTGATGGTGGGCGGCAGCACAGGTGACTGTAGAAGCAAGAAATGGCTATAAGATTCAGGAATACTGCCCCAGGCAACCCCAGCTGTCTACTCCCCGGACTTGGATGCCCCTTTCTCTTTTCCATCACTTCATCACCAGGTGCCAGGGGCTGTCAGCCTCCAGCAGCTTGATACCTGTTTGAGCATCACTGGGTGGGCCCTTGTCCTTAGGAAATGGATGATCTAAGAAAACAGACAAGAATGGGATCAGGAGCTCAAGTAAGAGGGCAGGAAAGCTACCTAAGCTGTCATCTGATGTCAGTAAAATATCACCTTACTATTTAAAAATCCATAGCCATGCCTGTCTTTAACCCATCCCTGTTCAGATGTTGTCCCAAGTTGCTGTTCCTATTGGTTATGTCTGCTAAATGTGCTCTAGCACATTTGCCCTTTCCATAGTCTTGTTTTGTTTTTTCTTTAAAATAGCAGCAACTATTAACTTTTGAGCACTTACTGCATGGCAGGCTCTGAGCTAAATGCTTTACTGCTATTCTCTCATTGAATCCTCCCAAAAACCCCGTAAGGTGAGAACTGTCATTATTTCCATTTTCCAGATGAGGAAACTGAGGCTCAGAGAAGTGAAGCAACCAAGCTGTTTATGCAGATAGGAAGTGGTTAGTAGTGAAGACACAAATCTATACCTCCTCCCCCATGTTTTTGCCCATGGAGGGTCTGCCTTTTCCCACAGTTAAAGCCTTGACTTCTCTTCGTGTGCATGGTCTATACTCAAACACAAAGAACTCACCGCCATCTACTGTAACAGAGCCAATGTTAGCCTCTGTAAGATGAGTACCTTGTACCCCATAGCCAAAGTGCAGTCTATCTTCCCACCCCACCTTCCCCAAGTGGGGGTACCTGCTGGGCTGTGATGCCACTGGCGATGGCCTGCTGCACGCTCTCCCGGGTCACCTGCGCCACCACCATGTTGGGGAAGCGATAAAGCATCTCTGAGAAGAGAGCAATCAGGGCGATCTGCAGCTCCGACTCTGACCCAGGGATAGGAAGAGAAGATAAGGAGGGTATCCCCATACCCAGACTCCCTCATTACCTTCAAGTGTGAGGAGGAATGTCAGAGAACTCTAAACTGCCAGGTAAATATAAACGTAAACTGGCACTCCCTCCCCACTCCCATCCCCAACCTGCTGTCCTTGGGGCCCTCTGTCTGGCCTCACCTGTGTAAGCATACAGTCGGTAATTAGTTTCCACAACAATGAAGCCTGGCTGATGGGCAGTACCCCCAGCTCCAGAAACACCTGACGAGAGATTAATGGCCAGTCGTGTGGGGTAGTACCGCCGAGATTTCCTCTGGAAAAGACAGAAAGGAAAGGCAGGGGGCCCTCGCTCAGGTGTCACTAACCAACATCTTCCTATCTGAGACAGACCCCTTCCAGGGCACAAAGCCTCAACTCACAACTTGTCTCCTCCAAGGGACCCAAGTATTCAGTCCTGGCAACTACTTCCTGCTACTGTCCCCTGGGACCCACTCTTTTTGTTTTTTGTTTTGTTGTTGTTTTGATATAGTTGACATACAATGTAACATTAGTTTCAGGTACATAACATAGTGATTCAACAACTCTACACTTACCCTATACTCACTACAAGTGTAGCTAACACCTGAGACCCCACTCCTTTTTAAAGGCCAAGGCAACAGACCACCCTGCCTCTTCCCTAGAAGCCGTGTATCTGGGTGTTCATACCTTCCTCTGGAAAACAAGCCCAAACTCACGCAGATGTTGCAGGAAATTCAACAAAGAATCACTCATACCTTCCACAGAGTAATCCTGGGAAAGAGAGGTGCCCAGTTGGAATCCAAAATACATCCTATTCTCCCCCTCTCAACCCTATACACTCATTCCCTCTTTTCCCATCTGTGCTTTGTTCATTCTTATCTTTCACACTTTTGTCCATAACCTGACTTCCCCTTCTCATCTCTCCACCCATCAGCTTGCCCACACAAGCCCCCAGCTCCATCCCCCTGTTTACCTTGCCCAAAGTAGAGAAGCTGAGCTGGAAGAGGAAGGAGAGAATCTCCACCAGGTCCATGCCCCGACTCTACGGAGGAATGGACAGAAACAAAGTAGGAGGGATGGAAGGGAGAGAATGAGGGAAGAGAACATCAGGAAATAGTCTGCAGGGGTAGTCTCTTCATGGGTCTTGAGAAGAGCAGAGCATGCCTGGCCTCCTCACCTGGGCTGTCTGCAAATACTGCAACATAAAGTACCAGAGCTGGGCAGGGGTGTCCAGCAACAGGAATTGGAAGCCGGCCGACGTAATGCAGGGTGGCTCTCCAGGTTCAGTGCTAGAGACATAGACAAAGACAAGGGTAGAGGGATGCAGAGAAAAGCCACCATCCCCACTTGTCCTCTCATGTTTTTTCTTGATTTCTCTCTGGCTATTCTCCACTCAGCTCTCCTTTTTCAGTTAACCACCTGTAATCCTAACCCACCCTGGACACTCAGTTTAGCAGGGATCTGATGTACCTCTGGTTTCCTTACCTCTTCATGAGCCCAGCCTGGCTGAGAAGCTGAGCCAAGTCCTGGCTGACGGCTGCACTGGGGGAGCCCACCATGAAGTGCAGGACCACCTGAGAAACAGAAGTGAACAGAGAGAACAATGCTCTATGGGCCAGTGGAAGTATGAGCACAAGCCGAGACAGAGTCCCAAGTCCTCACCTCCCATCGCTCCTCGGCGTACTTGTCAAGTGAGGGAACATCCCGGGCGTGCTTGTCTGGACCCAGTTGACTTGTGTCATCAGACCAGGCCTTACCCCTATGCCAGGATGGGCAAAGAGTAAGGAACCCTGCCAGAGTTTCCTGCCTGTTCCCCTGCCCTATTTCCCCCCCTTATCTCCATGGGCTATGAGTAGAAGACATTTCTTTCCTATAGCATGCAGCTACATCTAGTCCAACTTATTCCTAAACAAGCTCCCACAGGTGGAGCCCACTAAGTCCCAGAGAGGCCCCTCAGGGGCACCCCCTCCAGCAGTTTAATTCCTAGTTCCCCTCTCCTAGTTTAGGAAGATGGAAGTGACATACCCACCCAGAAGGGCAATGCGGAGGTTCTGGCGGAAGATGGGGTTAAGGATGAGGCCCTGGAGACCACCAGGGAGCAGCTGGGTGTGCCAGATACGGAGGCCACTCAGCAGCCCTGTACTTTCCTCTTGAGCTCTGAAACAGAAGCAAAGAGGTGAGGGGGTGTCTAGAGAACAAAAACAAGGAGGCGCACAAAGTCTCCTATTTCTGCCTTTTCTGAACTGGTAATCCCTTGGAACACTATTTCAGAGTGAAATCAGTGTCTTCTTAAGGCAAATTTCTTACTGCAATACCTACCAGAACCTTGTTGTAGACATCACATTTTTCCAAGGGGGAAAATACAGTATGCAGAGTTTCCCAAACTTATTTAAATACAAGCTTTGGGATATA